GCGTCACCCGGACAGCCCAGATCACCCACATGACTCTGGTCGCGGAAGCCTACGACTTCATTTAATGATAACACATAGTTACTCACACAGAGTTGAAACTTCGTCTCTTTTCTGATTAAGAAGGAAAGTTTTGATTTTCAGAAAGAAAAAACAATGGATCTATTGCAATAATGATATTTATAGTCACCTACAATAGCTCTTAAGTTTGCTCTGCTCTTAACTATTCATCTGAATTGCTCTTTTCCAGTGTTGCAGGGACCTAGAGGTGACATTATTGAGCACGTTTGGCATGCAAGCTCCGGTATATGATCCAGCATTCTGACACTTTTTTAAAATTTTTTTATCAGAGTGGCCACTCATTCCCCCGAAAAAATTTCACAGACTTTTAAAATGCTTTTTTCTTCTTCTTTTTTTTCATCTTCTTCTCCCATGACATTTGTAATTTCACGCTATTCAAGCTCCCTGATACTATTTGGTCAGCTCTGATTTCGCATTGACTTAGTACAAGTTAACATGTAACAAATTACAATTATCATACCAAATTAAAACAGCACAAAGAATTAGAATGTCAACCATTTGGTTTGTGAGTGCTCATGTGTCTGGTAAGTTTTTTCCTGTCATAATTTCTCGATTTTAATTTTGTGTGGCAATTAAATTTAAATTTGTACTATAAAATTTCAAAATTCAATTTTACAGCATGATGATGGGGACAACAATCAGAAACTATTGTGCATGAATATAGAATAAATTAACATTACAAGAAGTCTGTCAAATTTGGGCCCTAACTCTTCACATAACCACAAAATAAGGTTTGTTGCCATGCTGCAGCACATCACCCTCCTTCATAATTTCACACTTTCTCATTCTAAAATAACCCTAATTTTTCCCACTCTGTAAATAGTTTAGACATCAAAGTATGGAATTCACTTGCGTTGTTAACTGTAAATTCACTTTAAGAATCCTCATTCTGTTATTTCAGAAATAAAATAATTCAAAAACATTCTAGTTGGAAATCATTACAAACTGCCAAAAACTAAAACATTTTATTGTGTTGGGGAAAATGTACACTTCGCTTTTTTCCTTCTGGCAGTAGAAATATCATTTCCCTTCCTTCATCCAACAATAAGTACATTGTTGCATCATGAAAGGTGTTTGATGGGGACTTGTGGAAGTGTCATGACATTTAAAATTCACTATACTTAGGTTAATACACCTTTGATTTTAATGTCTGAAATTCAGACATGGAAATTTCATCTCATCACCTTGAATTATTTTTACGCATTTAAAACTACATACTATAATTTGATTGCACGTATCTAAATACATTAAAATAATTTTCCCTTATTTACACAATTTTCCTTATGGTCCCATGAGATGTGTGAAAGAGGGGTTTTACTGTATTACAAGGCAAGCAAAACCACAGTTTTAGTTGTCTCAATGAATACATTTAAGTCTGAACAAAACTTACACTAAGATCGAAGTCTGCAGGCTTCTTTTTTTTTTCGTCTTCTAATATATTTTCAAGTAATTTATAATAAAGACTCTCTCCAAGTTGCAGACGTTTTGGAGCAAAGTCAATATCTTCATCTTTGGATTGACGAAAACTAGTGCAGAACTGTTCACCAAAATCTCTCACCAACTTTTCCACACGTTCCTGTGGGTTTCTGCTACACTTCCTGAATGTTAAAAAACAATAAAATATTAGTAAATGATTATATTTACCATACAAATAAAAATTAATTTCATACACACAAGGTCTCAAAAGTTGATTTATTTACAGCCAAGCACACAATATTACTTCACTAACCTAAAAATGGCAAGAAGTGTTTCACTGGGGCTTGACGGTCGTCCTACTAGTAGAGTCCGCAGTCTACTTACAGCTTGCATAGCTGTAGAGACTGGTGTAATATTGGGATGTGCTTCTTTGCTCTTAAGATACTTTCTTCCAGACAGAGGAGTAGAGGGGGCAAGTTGTTGCATCTGCGTAGGGAAACATTTGCAATATAAATTAACCTATAATTTCTTGTCTACTGAAGTTCAATTAGAGTCAACATTTACTAAATGCATCTCAAACATCAATTAAAAATTATTTCACTAATTGATAACAAAAGTTTAATTGTTAGTTCATATTCATTTGGTCCTATATGAAGCATTATTTTGATGAGATTTGTTTACATTTTCAAAGCATCTTTCAATACATTCACAACATATTTGCAACTTCTGGAACTTTGGTTTTAAGATGAGATTTGGCATACCCCTAACTGCTGCATGTTGTTATTTTTCTTTGCCTGAAGCTTTTCTGAAATGTCTCCCATTCCATACAACTTTGTTGGTGTTCCAATATCTGCATTAGCATCTTCACCTGCACATAAATCCATATCTAATAAGAATCCACAGCTTCAACTAAAAACTTGTGATATTTTAGAGATCAGGAAAAACAAGACTAATGTTCTGTTTACCTCCAATAAATTGATCTTTAAAAGAGGTCATGCACATTGTTTAAAACTTATCTACAGAAAAATCAAACCCGAATTAATTCAAGAAATGTTATGTTCTTTGAGGTGTTTCTACTCTAACCTAGTTAAATCTAAATGCCACAAAGAACACTGGAAAATTGTTACCCTTCTCATTTCAGTTCGGTGTATGTCTTTACCTGTAGTTCTTGTCCACATTCACTCAATTCAAGTCTCATTCACTAAATGTATTGACCTGTACATAATACCTTAATAAAAATTGCATAACAAAGTAAATAACCATTTAATGTATGTGTTCACTATTCTCAAAGGAACAAAACCCGGCAGTAAATGCACATTTAGATTTTCATTAGTAAACTAACTTTTTTTAAAAACAGAATAGGAAATGCAAAGAACAAAATTTGAAGCAGTTTTGAGAAAATTTTGAAAGTTTACAAACTTGATATAATTTGCCCTATATGTAAGAAATCTATCTATATATATATATATATATATATATATATGCTGTGAACATTCTACCATAAAAGGATAGAATAATGGGAAGATAGATGGAGGAAACTGGACCAAATTTATGGGCATATTTTAAATCCACAAGGTGTGGTATGTTTTCAGTTTTATAAAAGGTAAATTGGATGTCTATTTTAAGTTAAATACAGGTACATATTAGCAGTCTGACAAAAATTTCGGGCAGCTTGCAGAAAGTGGGTATGAAACAAATACATAACTACAAAATTTACACATTTTGAAGTACTCTGTTCAACACATGATTTTCATTGGGAGTATTCCATTTGGAACAAACAAAAAGTCCCCATTACCAAGTATTCCTGCAATCAAATTTTTCATTGAAAATCAGTAACTTAGTATTTAATGTCTATAGAAGAGCAAATGCAAAGGCTATATTTTAGTCACCTATATTAACTATTCACATTACATTAAACCGCACCCTGGAGGGTCTCAGGAAAACTTTAAACCAGAAAAACAAAAATTTATCAGCTCTAAGTTCCATCATGAATCAAGAGATGGCATTTAACAATATAGTGCAAAAATCACAATACACCAAAAAACTACACAATTTTTATTAGGTTCTGGTTCACACAATTTAAATAAGGAAGTAAAATAATTTCTTCTGAGTTTTCCAAAGCATTTGTATACCTATATATTTCTGTATTTTAGACATAACACCACACCTTTCTGCATCAACTTCAAAGCTAGTTGTTTTATGGTTTGTGTTCAATAAGGAAATAGAAAGTTGAAGTTCCTTTGCAAATTTAACACTCAGAATCAAAGTTTTTTCTTCCATAAAAATAACATTTTCCTTTTCTCATGGAAAAGGAATGTATTATAAGAAATTGACCCTAAAACAGCACGAACAGAAAATAAAAATAAGATTCTACCATACTATGAAATTACCTAGAACTTGCAGAAATGAGTAATATTATACTCAACTCTAATTCTACCACGTTGATTCCCAAATGTACAGAGAGACAAATTACATTGTTTAAATAATCGCAAACTGGAATGAGAAGCTTTGCAACAATCTATTTCCAACAAATGCTACTCAAATCTTACGAGTCACAGGCATCAATTGCAACAAGTTACAAAAGAAAAAGCATTACTACATCATGCAGCTGAAACTCCACATCTTCAGTATACCTCTATTACAAGGATGTTTTTTCTATGCTAATAGATCAGACATTGCTGACCAACATAAGAAATCAAGCCAAACCAGCAAATGTACATGTTGCCAAAAGTATCCTTATGGGAATACACTTCAATACACAGCACCCATTAAATTAACAAAAGCTCCAATCAGCATCATCTTAGCAAATACTGGATCCAACAGAAGATTCTTATACTCCAAACACTCTACTTTTAATTATTACTGCTGTAGAATGTGTTTTGTTGCGAACGGACTAGAAATTCTGCAATCACAATCCTCTCCCCATGTACAAAATTATGATTACTTCCCATCACCAAATTTTCTTATAAAAGAATCTCTCTTTAGTTTGTGATTTTGTTTTTTGAAACTCATTGTATTCATGCCAAACTTTATAATCATAAGCTGCGTTTACATTTGACTTTAAACAATCATAAAACTAATTTTGAAAGAGTGACAGAACTTCAAGAACCAGCACTGCCACCCTAATCTCACCTTTACCTTGTGAGTTCCAAGCTCTGAGCACAGGTCTCTTTTCAGATGAGTTTAATGCTGATATCAAGTGGCACTGCCTAGCCCCCGGCAACGCCCGCAACCGCCTACACTCAGCTGAAGACACCCAGGTTAAGAGGAATGTTTAAAATCACTGCCCAAACACACACAGCCTTTCCTACTCGCAAGTGCAGACCAATCGACTGCCCTCGAGAGGAACATATCAGCCCTGAGAAAGGTGTTTGGGCTCTAAATTTAGTATAATTAAGTTATTAGTATAAAAAAAGACAAAAAAAAATAACATGCTTCACACGATGCAAACTTCCCCAATTTAGAAAAAAATACCTTTCAGAATATTAGTAGAAAGATTTGTACTTGATAATAATCCAGTACAAAGCAAATTTTGTCTAAAATTCAAGATGGCTCAGCACAAGCAAGTGCCACTAGTCACATTTGCTTTCACAATAGGACAGCTGAATGGAAGCACAGAACCATTTGTTTAATAATTTCATCATGTTTACAAGTGTGGTACATTCAATACATTTTACAATTATTTACATGTGTGGACACTGTTGCAACTATTACATACTACGACTGTTACAAAGTTAGAGCTCATTAATAATTGTCCATATCCAACAGTACTTTTTTATGTTTTCTTTCTTTTCAATTACATTGCAGCACTGTCGCAAATCAAAAATGTGAATAATATCAACATACATTTAAATTAATTTTTAATATCAACAAGAACATTCTACTGGACTCATATCAATACAGACACCACCTTAAATACTAAATTAGTGACATGTTAAAGAAAGAGCATTTGTTGACATCTAACCAGCCCTGTCAAATTCACATTCAACTTATTTAATTGCAGCTTCTGCCGAGCACTTCCCAAATAGTTTTCCAGAAGGGCCAACACTTAATGGTTCCTTGTAATAGGGCTATACTGAATGAAAAACCACACTTTGACAAGTAAACATGACTGAATCCAAATAAAATGCTCAAAACAATATTTACGGAGAAAAAAAATAAATAAATAAAATTAAATTAAATTTAAAAAAACAAAAACATGCAGAACTTAAAATAACACGACATACCTAAAAATATTCTTTCGTCAAAGTCACCAACATTCAACACGTGTTCTTCATACACCTTGTTAATGTTTTTAAAATTGGCCTCAAAATTATTTGGATCTAATATACCAGTGAGGGTGCTTAAGTCACCCTTCAATACCTGAAGCAAAATAAAACATTTAACTTTAACAATCTGTTTTTAACTTTGATTAAACAGGTTTCTATACCGCAATTTTTGCAACTCTACCCCTGACAGGCTGGTGACATAGTAACATCACTATGGTGACGTTCCAACTCCTGAAATCAGGCAGGTATTACTCGCGCAACTTTTCTTGAACGATGACCTTGATCCCCCTCCCCTGTGCAATAAACAGTTGAAGGCAAAAGCTTGCAGCGGGCACTGGTGACAACCTTCCAAGCATTAAAACTTAGTTGGCGCGAAAGAGAAGCTAGTCGAAGCCAGTTGCTTTCATAGTGCAGAACTCCTGTTCACATTTATTGTCAATATCGAAAGAAATGGCTGAGTCAGGTCCAGGTCCTTCAAGGGAGTCACCTAAAACTCCCGAAAAAGTTAAGCACAAGATGCAGTTTTGACTTTTATTTCACACATGTTTGCATTACTTAAAATACTCTAGTGGTCGACTTTGTAACTAATACCCCCACTCCACCTGAAATCGTCAATCCATCGTTCAAGAAAAGTTGCTCGAGTAATATCATCTGTTGATAGTTTCGTCCAATCAAGAGCTTGAATGTCACCGTAGCAACGTCACTACAGAGACATTCAAGCTCCCGATTGGATAAAACCAATTAACAGTTGATACCTGTCAAGGGCAGAGTAGCATAAATCACAGTAAAGTACTATTTTTTATAAACAACCACATATAAACTCTACTCAGATTAAAACACAGCAAATTTACTTTTGATAAGCGGGTCCAGTTATCCAATCAGCAGCTTCAATAATAAATAACGCGATGTAACAAAGCTCCTGCTTGGTAACTGTGTCCCAGCTATTTTTGTTAATTTATCCACTGTTTTAATCAGAGTATAGATACCACTGAAACTAATTACAAAAACTGAGAAAAAAGTTGTAAGTTTATGTTGTAGTAATAGTAATAAACAGATTAACCACTCCATTTACTAAGCACTAAGCTAGAATCCTAAGGCAAAACTTTAATTTTGATTTCATTATAAATTGCAAATTATTTTTCTCGAACTCACCTTCTTTTCAAACAACCTTCTAACATATGTCTTCCAACAGTACTCTTTAATACTCTTTGCTTCCAATGGAATGCCATCATGACTTTGACACAAATCATCAATAATGCATGGAGGTTCCAACGGAGGAGAATAATCTAATTCCCAGAACTTTTCTGGTAGACCTAATAAGCAAGAAAAATTATTATTCAATGCTAAACAATCCTATTACATTGCCAAAAGTATTGAAAATCTGAGTACCTCGAAACTGAGGATTCATTATGTCACGCCGATTAGCCAATAATGCATTTCCGAAAATGAGGTCACAGCATGCGAGAAGAAGATGATAAGAATTCACAAGATCATCACTTGTTCCTGGTGATTCTCCCTTTACACAAATAAAAAGTGTCCATGAAAAGTCAAAAACTTTAGCTGATGTGCAAGGCAAACTCCTGCAAACATAATAGCATACATTAGGGATGTTATTATATTCAAACAAAGGTTGTATAATAGTCATTTACAAAAATACTTCACCTTTGTTTCCGTGAAGTGGGTTGTCGATTTAGTTGGTTATCTCCTGGGTATTGAAATAACTCCATAAATATTGGCTGGAACTTCTTAAAAATTACCATTGACACAGCAAAATTTCTCTCCAGTCTGTCTATCTTATTGCGAAACTCAGGAGGCATACTAGCCATGTCAGCCCATTTTTTACTTTTACTAAAGAACTGAATTAAGCTATAAACCAGAAATGTGTATTAAATAAAATATTCCAAAGTATCGAACAAACAATTTTGCATTACGAAAACCTCAAAAACTAACCTTAATTTACAAAGTCTAAGAAGCCGAGTTAAAGAAACACAGTTTCCTTCAACAAAGGATGTGTTGTGTTTTCCCACTGTGGGTGTTGTTGACTTCCGACAAGCTACATACAGTGCACAACCCAGCCAATGCAGCTGGTCTCCCTAAAACAAAATTCAGATCACAAACATTGTAAACAAAAGTTAAATATACGTTTATCCTGACACTTAACTTACAAACAGTAAGGTTACCATGTCAAGTGTGTTATCCCAAGAAAAATTGGTTTCAATGAGTCTTAAAAGGGTTGTTAAAAAGTAATAAATAGAAAAGAAGGTATAATCTAGTCTAGTTAGGGAAGGAATTTTTGCAACTAAGTAAATACAAATAATTACACGAGCAACAAAAGAAATTAAAATACAAATAAGCTTTACCTCTAGGGTGTAATTCTGTCGTATAGTTTCGTAGCTCTTCCAAGCCTGATCCGATGCTTCACGATCCATGTTTAAATTAGAACAGAGTTCCTGGTATCTTTTCTGCACATTTTTCTCATTATCCTCCAAAAGACCCATGATGTCTGTTAAAATCCTATTCAGAACACAATTAAACAAACTCCACACCACACTTCACCATGAATCCCTGGCAGCACGCAGCCGCCCACTGCGAAGCCACGGAGTCAAGCTCCCGCGAAAGCAAATGGCGGGAAAACGCCTATACATACCTGTTCAGAAGTTTAAATGTTGACCGTTGAAGATTAATATTCTCGCACTTTGATTCAGCAACAACAAAATTAGAACACGACCAGTTTGATATTAACAGTATCTTGGTTCACAGACACATTATATGAACACCGTATTTCTATCTGGTTTACATCCGGCGCCTACGCCCCGCGCCAAAAAATAGGACAACTCTCGATTCAATGAGATGTAACCAAAAGTAACATACTACACAGAAACCAACCCGTGAAATTTCTCAATTGATATTTGATGTATTTGATATATGTACATTAATTATAAAGTTCCTAAAATATTGTTTTACACAGTACTACCTCTGCAATTCTCTTACCGCCAAATCGACTGCGCCTCACTTTCAGCTCACTCTCGATTTCGCGGGAATTCGTTTGTATCGTACGCGTGCAACCACCACATTCCCGCCTTCACCCCCTCCAACCCCAGGAACCCGGTGGTTCAAATATTTAAATTTTGACACGTGAATACTGTTGCGCAAAATCGAAATGTGTAAACGTATTCTCAATACAAATATACTTTACATTTCCTACATTTGAAAATACATTTATTTTCTCGCATTGAAAACAAGAAAAAGTACGTACCAAATGGATATATTTCAAGACGCATTTTATTTGTTTTTATTTATTTAACCTAGCAGACCCTGCGCAGAATCTCTTGAATTCTATGGGAAACCATGGGAATTACATATATTTTAAACGAACACATATCATGTATATAGTATTTGGGGTTATTAATATACATATTGAGATAATTATATAGTAAATTGAAGATCACTTCAGGGTACATGTTAGAGTAAAATGTCTAGTGAAGTTAAATATTTTTGCAAATCAGTGCAATACTTATTAATGCTACAATTTCTAATGGAAGTATATTCTTAAACTATTGTTAAAATTATAAACAAAGAATTTTTAGTAACATTTATTAAAGAGACATTATAATAATATACATATATTTGCTCTGACCCCCTGGCATAGATCAGAAATGTGCTTTTAGGAAAGAAATTTGAGCAAATATACTTGCAACTGAAGCAAAAATATTGAGTTTTTATGTCTTTTCCTTCAAATTCTTGACATTGGAGATTTTACCACTGCCCTAGAAATTATTTGCAAAATCAGTTAATGTTGACTCTGCTTTTAGTACCACTTTTAGTATCATTACCTAATATTCCTTTGAGCTGTTTCCACGTAACCATAGCTGCACCACTCTCCGTTCGCACTCAGACTTTTGTAATTGTTTTTCTATGATCTGAATGTGTACCATGACTTGAAACCCTTAGAAGACTTTCAGAACAATGAGGGAGGCAGTTTTTTTTCTTGGAGTAGAGTTTACCAGTGGATTGAGTCATTTAAAAGCAGACAACAACAAGAACGCAGTATGAGAAAAGAACAAAATATTCAGCCTCATCTCCTACTGATCACAATAAGCAATTGTGCTCTGTTCTGAATAACCGAACATAGACTGTTGATGAAGTGGTAAACCATAGTCAGGTCCTGTATATGAGAATGATTGTTGAAATGGATTGCCGAGATGGATTGCTGAAAGACATTCTCTTGTCACAAGACAACGCCCATCCGCATACCACCGTCCAAGATCTTGAAAATAGTATGTTTGTCGAGGCGTCAGAGCTTCCTGGATTCAGTTCCAATTTAATTACAATCTTTTTGGTTCATTCAAAGATGCTTACGGTGGCCGAAGTTTGGTCTCCAACCTACAGGTAAGAAAGCGATGCTTACATGACTTGCTGCTCAATGGAAAATCCTATTTCAGAGGGTATCGGAAAGTTGTTCTATGGTGGACCAAGTATACTGAATATCACGGGGTCTATGTTAAAAAATGATCTAGCTGTAAATTTTGTACTGTTGTACAACCACAAACATTCAATGCAGATATTTATTGACACACTCTCGTAGTTTATGCGGTATTGGAGAAACAGCTTGTCGTGTTCACACAGTTTCTACCTTCTAATGATTACTCTGGCGTATTCCAGACGAAGGAAAAACAAGAGTAAATTACTAGCACAAAATACAAGAAGAAAATTGTAAAGGAACATAATAGACAAAAATTTGAAAGGAACATACTAGAAGACAATGTAGGAAAAAAATATATGTAAGTAGTGTACGAATTTAAAAACGAAGAAAATCCAACAAGATGAAAATCAAAGATCACAATTCCAAAGGAGGGAAAAAACCTATGATATCCAAGAAGAAATGAATATAAGAAAATGAATCGCAAACTCAAAATTCATCTCCCACACCTTTCTTTTTCCAGCGTGCGTGGAGGCGAGTGCTCCACAGGAGGGGGCGGCAACTCGTCGCTGCGACGAGGTCTATCAGAAAATCAGCGGGGCGACCTTCGCGCCACGATAAGGCGGACCGGGGCGGGGCCGGGGGCGGGGGCGGGAGCGGGGACGAACGACGAGCGGAGAGGAAGAGGAGGAGGAGAAGGAGGTGCGGTGCGGGCCGGCGCTCAGTGCCTGCCGAGAGCAGCCGCCGTCATGGACGCCGCCGAGGTGGGCGACGCCGCGCTGAGCGCCTTCCAGGCTGCGGCGCTTTTCGTGCTGCCGGTCGCCGCCTGGCTGTTGCTGCGTGCCGCCGCCGCGCCACCGCCGCATCCCATCTACTCGCGACCAGGTAGACGAGGGATCAGGTTGACTGGTCGCTAAACAAAAGAAAGTTATGTTGGACGAAAGCATTGCCAGGAGTTGTGTCGAAAACATTTACGAGTGAGCCAACTGCAAACGAACGTATTAACTAATTTAGCAAATGACCAGTCCATAATCTGCAGTTGTGCTAGCAGCTGTAGAGAATCAGTTGCTGTCAAAACGATCCCTTCTTATAATAGTCTCTCTTGTAGCTAGGATGGAGCATCCTGTGCGGCCATTCTATTTTTTAACAACCGGTTCTCTCCAATGATTTCCAATAAATTCTTATTATTTTATTTCAATAAAATAAGTAGTTCATTAAAAGAGGTAACATGTCTCTACAGAAGTGTTTTTGTGTAACATCCTTTTACAGATTTATGAATACAGTAATTTAAGATTATAACAATTCTGAGTGAAGGTTATAGAAATGATTACAAATCTAATTAGTTTTGTGAATATTTTGTATGTTTGAATAATTTGTGTATGTTCTCTTCTTCCTGCCGCATGTGTCAGCAGCCGTATGGTGTCCAAGACGTAACAAGTTCATAAAATTAGTCGCGTCCAAATTAGCAAGAGGATCTAATGAAGAGAGATCGTTTCAATCAGAAATATGTTATTTAAAGCTACAATAATTTTAACAACCTAGTTGCGATAAATCCCAAATGGTTCTGCGAGCTGCAATACTTTTTACAACCGTACTTGCAAACCGGATGAAAGACAGCCCTAGACGCATCTCCTCTTCATAGATTGATCTTCTGCCACGGACTGATTTGGATTTCCGGGAGTGTCAACTGCTGTGTTATTAGTTCCATTAGTGGGGTGAATTTTTTTATCCCGAGAGGTGGCGGTGTTCCTCCCCCGATGGGCGTTCGGCGCAGACTTACGCGTTGGCTATCTCACGATATCTCACAGCGGGGCCGGGGCACCACCCCAACCGGATCAAGCTCCCGAATATTCTCTCGGTTTGGGTGGTAGTGTAGTGCATGAATGTGAGTGTGTTAAAGGAGAGTATATGTCAAGGATGAAGAAAGGAAGATCGAGGTTCGTTTGGTGGGGTAACAAATCCAGCACTCGCCTTGAATTGTTCGGAGAAACCATGAAAAATACTTTCAGAGCAGCCGGTGGCTGAATTCGACATAGCTATACCAGAGCTAATGTCGAAAATTTATACCATCAGGACTCGAAACCTAGAACCTCCACATCAGAGTCTCTGCAGAAACAGGGGTTACTAGATCTGAGATAACGCAGACGGTACTCTTCCACGAGTATAAGCTTGCCAACATGGAAATTAAGTTACAAAATTTAAAAGAATGGAATAAACCTCTATAAAAAAAGGTGTCCCAAATAATTAGATATCAGCAGCTCGTGCAATCTTGGTTATTAGTTAACCAAAAAAATATACATAGTGCATGGATGAATTTTTTGAAAATGTGAAAATAAATATATTATATAAATAATGTAATATATATGTAGTTATTAAATTATATATTACGAATATTAATGAAAAGAAAACACAAAAAAATTAAAATTAATTAAAATATTAAGAACGCATGGTTTATATATTTGTCTCGAAACAAATTGCAAGAACATTATTAACGAATTAAAGGTTCTTTGAAATAATGTTTTTCTATTGCCACAACGCTTCTTTCAACCAGCGAAGGGCTTGAGAGACTAAATTCTAGAGATCTTTAACGAACTGAATACCCTATAATTTTTACTTTCTCACCATTACAAAGATACTTCGTAAGAAGAGAAATTTACGTAATCGTGAACTAAAAAACGGCGAATTTTCGGCAGAAAAACTCTTTATTGTTGTACCCTCGTAACGAAAAAATAGATGAATCCTGTTGCTAAATAAAGAAAAAAATTAATTTAACATGTAGTGTGGTCCGAATCCATGTTTTGAGGGGACCTTGATTCCGAAAATCGATTGACGGCAAAACGTCTGTCTTCCGTCTGTCTGCCCATATATTGTCAACGCTAACGCCTAAACTGTTCAGCCGATTTTCTTCAAAATTCCGCAATCTATCTGAATGATCTCGAGGTTTTGATTTTTGAGAGTACTTTACATGAAGTCTCAAAAACATTTTGAAACGTTTCTCAAAAATGGAATCAAACGTTTCGATCAAACCTTGTCTTCGAATAGCGTAAATTACGCTTATAAGAATGGCACAGTTCTCATGTTCGCGGAAATCCTAGATTTTTTGAAAATTACAAAACTGAAATGTTTTTTGAGAATCTTCTTACAGTTATAATATAGAGTTTTTCTCAATGAAATCTGTTGATTAAAGACGGATATTTAAATAAGTTCATGTTCAATCTTTCGAAAATATGAGTAGTTTTCGTGTAATTTGGCGCGAAATGTACGCAATTAAATAAAATGTTTATATATAAATATATATAAACATTTTATTTCAACTCAAATGAATTAAGTTCTTTTACATCTCTTAAAGTATAAACTGTGAAAACGAAATTTCAATTTAAAAAAGGTTTTCGTGGAATGTTATATGTTACGAGTGTGTTTTAGCCGGTCTTCCGAGAATTCACACTGAAGCAAGAAATATCGAGTCCTTGGCACTTGCCAGAGGCTATTGATCATCGTATGTTCGGTTGTCGTGTCCCCTTGCCGTTCATCATAGGATTCTTGTAGATAATTCCTTACGTTTTACTGGTTAATTTGGAA